GCTTGAGGTGGGAGCCAATTCCGGATCTAAGACGGAAGATTGAAGAAATTCAAAGGATAAGGTTAGGGGGGATATAGTTTTGAGGGGAGGGTTTTTTTTTCAGGGGAATCGGGGGGGGGAGCTAGTTTTCAAGCTTTTACAAGGTTACCAGTTTGGTTTTTCATTGGAGGTTTTTTTGGAAGATCAAGGGAATGAGAGAGAGGAGCTTCATGCTTCGGGTCGGGGAAGGAAAGACATAGAATTTGGATTTTTCTTCTTCGTAGAGTTTTGGGAAGATTGAGGCAATCGCTGCTGAAGTCAGTGTTGTAATGGTGAATCGAGATTTTTAAATGAAGTGGGTTTGAATACTCTTGACTGTTTTGTAAAATCGAGTTACGTCTATGATTGAAGGATTAAAAGGGTGTCTATAGGATTGAGTATGCAGAGTGAATGAAATTTATTGGGTTAATCTAACAGGACAGTCAGTGAATACAAGATCGTAAGTACAAAGGGGTATTGAAGATTAACAGTTTGGGTTGTTCGGGGTTCTCTGTAACGTCTAGAGACCTACCGGCTGGGGCAAAAAAAAAGACTTCGACAAGCAGTCGAAGAGCATCCGTATAGATTTACGGTACATTGTTGCAGTCGTTTATATTCCAGCAGTCAAAAACTGATAGACTGCTTGACTATCGCCGAATCTCCATACTACCTTCTACAGCCAGACGCCCAGCGCGTTCTCGAGCAGGAAAGCACATAATACGACACCGGAGTCAATGAAGATCCATCCTTTATTCCACGTGTCTCTTCTTGAATTATATAAGACAGTGGATATACAAGGAAGAAGACAAATGCCACCGCCTCCTATAGAAGTAGATAATAATGAAGAATTTGAGGTGGAAGAGATATTAGACTCAAGGCGGCGTCGGAATAAGCTGGAATATCTTTTTCATTGGCGCGGATATGATATTAGTGAACGCACATGGGAGCCATCCAGGAATCTAGCAAATGCATCAGCTAAAGTCAAAGTTTTTCATCAACGACATCCATCAAAACCAAGATGAAAATCTCTCTTATAAAAGAGACAAGATTGAGGCAAGATAACATTCAATTTCCTATCCTTGTTTGTAACTTCTTTACATTTGTGACGCTAATTAGATGGAGAGCCAACAACCAGCGGATTCAACTCAAGAACCTTCGTCTGCTGACCTGCCGGACGAGACATTACGATTGTCACAACCTTCAAGACGATGCAATCGAGATGAAGATCTTCAAGAACGATATGTTCTTCCTCGAATAGATAGTGAGATACAACGCGTTTGGTATCACGATTTGGGAAGGGACTCTCGATGTTTGGTGATTTTGCTAGAGGTAGGAACAACTCCTGATGGTGTTCCGAATATTCTATTCGAAGGAAGTTACGAAGGCCTCAACAATGATCAAATAACTGGGTGGTCTTGTCGCCCTGGTATGGGACACTACCGATGGTTGAGAGGCCCTATCAATCATCTTCGAAGAGAACAGAGATCAGAGTATGTGGCGAATACAATTCGTCGCATCATAGATTTCTCCAACATATGATGACCGCTCCTCGTGGAACTCGTCTCTAGAAGAGGGGGTAATGTCACGGCCATAATCATGTAAGCTAATAATTACATATAGAAATAGGTAGAAGTAAGTAAAAGTAGATAAAAGTAAGTTAATTCTATAATATTTAATATAGAAGCTTCCTAGAAACTTCCTAGACGCTGCTTTGACTTCATAGGTGTCTTTAATTGACTTTTTGGATTAGAAACGTGGTCAACAAGTTGGCCATGTGCCACACATGTTGTTAGCTTGAAGATCAAGCTAACTATGTGGCCCACACGTAGAAAAACTTGCCTTATAAGTCAAGGCATGTATCCTACAAAGTCAACACATATTGGAGGTCCTATAGAACGTCGCCACGTAGCCCCTAGTTAGATAGTATATATAGAGACAAGAGTGAAGGCTTCTTCACTCTTGTCAACTCCTTTCTTGCTTCTAGTCTAGTTTCAAGGGTCTCTAGTTTTCTTGTCTTTTGGCAATAGCCATTCTAGTTTCTCTTTTCAATATACATACTTATTATTCATATTTTGTTACTTTTCTTTGAGTGAAGGCTTACTTGTCTGAACTATTTTTTCATCGAGTTCTTGTCCTTGACATTACGTCGTCTTGAAAGTTGTGACAATTATAATGTCTCATCTACTAAGTCTGCAAACAATAGTTCTTGAGTTGAATTTTCTAGTTATTGGTTCTCCATCTTCTTAGTACCATAAATATATAAAAATTACAAATAAGAATAGAAGATAGAATGTTATCTTTTTTGAATTTTATTTCTTTTATAATAAAAATTTAATATTCTTCATCTTGATTTTGATGGATATTATTAATGAAAAATATCAACTTTCTTTGCTATATTTATAAAAAAAATTAGTAGCTCCCATATGAATTTAGTAATATCATATTTGTACTAATAAATAAAATATTTCAACCTATTTTGGCATCACCTAGAGTCTAAGACTTCTTCTACTTTAAATTTTTATTATTATCTACTTCTATAGGAAGAAGTGGTATTTGTCTTCTTCTTGAGTTATTCATTGTCTTATATGGCTCAAGAAGAGACTTATGGAATATATGATAGATCTTGTCATTAATGTGAAATTTAAGTTGTTTCTTGTGATAGGCATCCACATTGATCTTCTATCATTCTTGAACTTTTATTAGTTGTATCTTTATTGTTTTATGTAATTCAAATAATCAATTTGTCAAATCTTTTGCAATAGGATTATAATCTTTTAAAAATTTAAAAATATCAAATTATGGATGATAATTATAATTATTAAAATAAATTATTTATTATATCGAAGAATTTATTGTATTATTATATATAAACTCTAGCAATGGCAAAAGAGTCGACCAATCATCTTGTTGGTAGTTAATGATACACTTCAAATCTTTTTAAAAAATTTAATTTACACACTTTATTTATCAATTAGTTTGAGGATAGAAAATTAAAGATAGTTTTATATCTACCTTTAGAATCTTCAAAAGAATTTTTTAAGATATTAATATAAATTGAGTCCTCTTATCTAATATAATATTTCTTGATAATCCATTATAGTAATAAATATTATCAATAAAAAACTTATTTATTTTTTCACATGTGATAGATTTTATACATAATAAAAATATTCTATCCTAGTAAAACAATATATTATTATGAATATAAAAATCATAAGAACCTAAGACTTGAAGATTTGCAATAGAATTGATAGAAATAAAAAAAACCATAGTTATTTTGGAATAGATAATGGCTAAAAAAATCTATAAATTAGATAACAACGAGTTCTTAATCTTAAAAAAATATCACATGATTGTACAAAGTCTTTGATCGATGTCTACGGTAGAGGTCACGATTTTTTTTTTTTTTAATATTAACTCCAAAGTCTTGTTGTATCCAAAATATTTGGTTGGTGGAAGTTGTGATGAACTTGAAGAACATGTAATTGTATTGTGTCTTTTGGAATATATAATTATTTCTCAAAATAGAGTAGATTATTCTTGAATTCAAATTTAGATGTATTATGAGACTTAGAAGAATTATTTTTAATATCATAATGCTTTGTCTTTAAGAGAATTATTCTTTGTTGATCAAAAGTTGTATTTTCTTCTATTAGTGCATGATAAGAATGTCTAAAAGAACATTTGATAAATATTATTGTTTTTTTAATTGATAAGTGAACTTCAAATCAATTCTTGATAAAGACATGCTCTAATAAGCTTAGTAATGATTCAAAACACGTGATGCCATAAAATACTTGAAATTCTTGTGATTTGTATATAGAATATTTATACTAAAAATGTATTCTAGATAATGATGTCATTCTTAAAATGAATCTATAATTACAAAAATTTCTTTTTTATAGATCTTGTAGTTGATCTTAGTTGTTGAAGATTTTTTATAATAGAAAGCTATTGGATAGAATTTGTTATCTCCTTCCATTTGTGACAACACTGCACCTATAGCAAAGTCTGATGTATTTGTTTCCATAAAGAATGCCTTGAAGAAGTCAATATAATATAAGATTGGTGTTGAAATAAATATTAAATTTTAGGCTTCAAAACATGCTTCAGCTTTTTTGCAATACTCAAGTTTGTCTTTACATGTCAAACATGTAAGAAGAGTCACAGCTTGAAAAAAATTCTTGATGAAGATCCAATAATATAGGGCAAATTTCAAAAATCATTGATATTACTTATTATTTTTGTAACTTTCTAATCTATGATAATTTGAATTTTCTTAGAATCCATTTATTTTATTATAGATCTTAACTTGAATTAATTAATCAAGAAATCTTAATATAAAAGATAGAAGATATCTATTCTTAATGATCATCTTTTTAAATCCTTGATAATCTAGACATCCACAGTGATCTAACTTTCTTCTTTTCAAATAAGATAGGAGTTCTTATTAGAGATTTTGAATGGCATATAAAATCCTTGGCCAAATTTTGATCAATATACACTTTGAATTCAACTAAGTCATTTTGCAATAAACTATAGATTGATCCAAATGGCTATTGAGTTTTCTCTTGAAGATCATTTACGCAATGATAGGGATAATGTTTTAGAAGAATATCTGAATTTTTCTTTTCAAAAATACCTCGATAATCTTGATATTGGCTTGGAATGCCACTTGAAGTCTTTTCACCATAAAAAAACATGTGTGGCATAAATAATATAAGATGATCTTTCTTTTGCAGCATCTAGAGAAACTATTGCACATAAAAATACAAGTTTGGTTGAACAAGACTTTTGACTTAGTTGACAAAATTCTTAATTACTTTATTAGATAAGGTAGAGCATTTAAGCATTCAAGGTAGAACACGATTCTATAAACATAATAAGAAAGGATTAAAATTTTAAAAAAAATGATTCATAAGCAAAAAAAAAAAAAAAAAAAAAGAAAAGAAGAAGATATACCAAAATCCAAAAGATTATAATGAAATGATAAGTTTGGAGGACTTTACTAAAAAGAATAGTTTTTTACAAATTGTAACAAACCTTGAAAGACCAACTGAAAAATACAAAGAAAGAATGATGTGTTTTCTAAGTATTGCTTGGAATTAATAAAAATATATATCAGGGTAGAATGACCTATTAAGAATGTTGAATACGGTATGATGAACTCTTCAGTTCTTCAGCAAAGAAATAATCTACCAACCGATGATATATACTCAAATTGCCTTTATTTGTAAAAAGCATGTAAGGACTTTTCAAGTACATTTTATTCTTGATAAGTACTAAATTGGGGTTGTAATATGATTGGTGTTGTCATATGAGAAACAATATGACAATTCAGTGGGCATCTAGTTTGGAGGTTTGAGGTTGTGGTGGCAAAGAGGTTGCGGACACTTGTGCTGACATAAGTAATTAGGATGATAAATTTTGTTGGGTCGAAATGCATGTAAAATCCCATACAGGCCGGTGATATTATCTAGACAGGGAAACTTGTGACAACAGACTATCCAAACTGCTAATTACGACATGAGTACATAAAAAAGGACCTCACTCGGGACAGGGTAACAAATATGTACAGGACAAAATGGTGAAGGGACAGCCCAACACACATCGCGCCTGAAGCACTAAATATCGACTACCTTTACGAGGAGCTGCGTCATTACAAGCACAAGTATCGCTCATTCAGCACCAGATACCAGAAGCCTTCCTAGGTTAACCAAGTCTGCTATTGCGATGCAGTAAGACCACTAATTTTTAGCACTGCAATATGTATAATATAACTTCAGGGATATCCAATCTCCGATTATGACTCGACAATTCACATTTAACTCTCATGTCTATGTCATTGAGGAGCGACTAGCAAAGGGTGGCAGGAAGGAAACTTGCCGTGCAGCAAGAACTCAAATTCAGAAAGAACGCATCATATTTGACATCAAGATTAATACCATCATCTGCAGACATCACAGGAAAATCATACCTACTTGGCTTTCAGCGACCAAAAGTGGTCAAGTACAGACAATCAACATGGCATCATTTCAGTCCGCCCGTCTGCGATGAGTCATCATAAAGCCGAAGTGTGAATCATTAAAGATAAGCACACGATAAGACACACATGCACAACAGAAGTGTGAGGAGGAACATTTGACCACGGAGCCACCAAAAACTCCAGGTTGGTAAGATCCATCTCGTCATAGTTCTAGCGTTCTCATTTAACACCGAAAGCATTCTCTGGACGAGCACCTCAAAAATGAGACTCGTCACGCTCAAGTGCTGGTAAAGAACGCACAGCATCTCCCAAACACAATGCTCAGACATTGATACGACGCTTCAGCACTGGCAGCCTCTGCTGCCCTTGGGAGCCCAGCCATAAATTGCTTTTCGTCGTTACAGCATACCAAGACCCTCTAAGAACCGAAAGACATCACTGCCAGGCTAGCACCAGAAACTGCACCAACAATACCTTCTGATTGTCAACGAGACATGCAAAGTACTCATGCGCCGATAACGTAACATTTAACTACACAAATGAAACCATCGCTGTGAGATCCCTAAACGATCAACCTATGAAAAGTGAACCACGACAACAAGGTCACCTTAACAAAGCCTACGATTGTTAAGACCAAGAGGCCTCCTGAAGCTTCCCGACACCCTTAAGCCGCAGCATGGATCTGTGAGAGACAGACAGATGTGAAATATATATATATATGCTCAATTCGGTGCCTATGGCCATGCTCCTTCCGCAGATGCTCACCTTTTGCCGCGCCCACCATCTCCTTTATTCATAAATTAGGGCTGACGCGGCTGTGCTTGACCTGTTCCGAATTGCATAGACGCGAGTGGGTCCCTGTTATGACAACTGATATTCTGCTTTGCTGGGGCGTTGATTGGTGAAGGTTGGTTAATTAGGGGGATTGAATTTGACTTAAAGATTTGTCGGAAGAGCTTGTTCCGTTGTAGCGGAGCTGTTTCGGTAAGTTGTGCGTATTGTTTTTATTAAGTGGGTTTTGGTTTGAGAAACTTGGAAGTTAGGATTTACGGCGCGTCCACCAGTCTGACAACGCAGATTTGGGTTTGTATCAGATGCCTCGTTCGTACGCATGTACTGCTCTAAACCTGCTGATTGTATCAACATTCTCAAATTGAATTGGCATTTAGTAGCTCCGATCATGCCTTTTCTTGAATGCTAGCTCGCTCTTACATTTGCTTGTATTAAGTTACACACTTGAGAATTATCTTGCGGCTAGTTTACGAGAATCTGTCTGGACAAGAGGGAATACCAGCAAATTCACCATGTACTGCTTGTACGAAGCTTGAGCTCTCAAATTACACTTCTATACGTGTCCTCTTCCGTCTCCTTGCTTATTGATGGATTTGCCTGTACTGGACATATGCTCTAAACCTGAGTCAAATTGGAAGTGCCTCACAATGAGAGTCGTTTCATACCCTACTTAAGAAGAGTGACTAACACAGAGGAATGAAGGCCAAAGGAAAGAAGATTAACACTCTTGCAGAACGAAATTCGCTCCTCCCGACCGTTAGTTGTATAAAAACTGTTGGAGGTCTAAGCACTTCCAGAATCTAGTGTCCATAATTGCGCCACCCAAATCCAATTCGAATTCTAAGTATGCGTTTTGAGTTGTAGGTCAAGAAGAACAGAACGCTAATGCCAGGATCAGATTACAAGCTTACTGATATGCGTCACTGAGCTGAGAAAAATACGGCTCAGACGATCGCTACATCTATTTGAGATATTGGGAGGAGGAGAAGGTGAAATTGCATTAGGTGGGCGGTAGTTTGAGTTAAGGGTCCAAGGGTTAGGTCGTGGAGGTGGTGAATTTGTATTACAAGGGTGTGGAGGGGAGCGAAGATGGCGAACAGCAAATACGAGTATGTGAAAGATTTTGAAGTCAATGACAACATACTGCCTCACACTTGGATTGTCATTCGCATTGACGGCCGTGCTTTTACTAAGTATGTCTTTCTAGGTTTAAACTCAGTTTTCATACCTATTTGACTTTATGTTTTTCACCTTTGCCATCTCGTGATCAAATACAATTGAAAGGACAAATGAACGTCTGGACGTTGGTCATGGCTGTTTGACAGGTTTTCGCAGGCTCACCAATTTCAGAAGCCCAATGACCTGCAAGCACTGCTGTTGATGAATGCTAGTGCAGTGGCTGTGGTGGAGGATTTGGCAGATGTTGTATTCGCATATGGCGTCAGCGACGAATACAGGTATGCATCTCTTGTGAGAATCTTAACATTTACGTATCTGTCTTCAAGCCTGACATTATTTTTCTTGATCTCTACCATACCTGGTGGCATAAATTGTGCATTTCTATCACAATGCTTCATCCGTATTAATGATATTATCTCGTTTGGATTTGTTTTAGACAATGAGAGACAATCATGTGATCTATCATCTCAAATTCTACTTATCTGAGGAAATTGCTGTCTTTGGCCTTGAAACAGCTTTGTGTTGCGGAAAACATCGACACTTTACCAACGGAGAGCCAGGTGCGTGTCTATTCGTGTATTTCAGTTTCATGTCAGCGTTCTGCTATGTTCGCTTCTAACTTCTGTAAAACACCTGACAGGTTTTGGTCTTAGCAGCTGCAACTTATTAATCAGGTGCAGCTAGCTTTCCAACAAGTTATGTATGCAGGGTATTAAGGATTTATTGTACAAGTATTTCCCAGGCTCTCAAGGACGTTCTGACTTTTGCAGACTTTTAGGTTTGTGGCATCAGCTAAATCTTAATTTGTGACATTAATTCTGTGTTACCTGTTGCAGCAAATTGATTTCTGTTATATGCTCACTATTCGCATCATCGTATGTAATGAACTGGGGCAAGTATTTCCCGGAAACTAAGTTGCAGTATGCCCCTGCCTTCGACGGAAGAGCTGTTTGCTACCCCTCTGAATCGATTCTTCGGGATTACCTCTCTTGGCGTCAAGTTGACTGTAATCATTCTCTCTTCAATAAGTACAGGGCTGGTTTCATTAGATCTGAATTCCGCCACAAAAGTTAGAATCTTGTTCTGGGGATATGTTTTTCTTCCTTGATTCACACAACCTGTATGTTACTACCCGTATGCAATTGCATTTCATAATGAACACTTTTGCTTAAATATAAGTGGGCTTGTCTTTGACGTTGTCTAGCTCCTGGTAAATACGGCATCTTCACATGTGGCATGGGTATTGTCTCACTTACAAGTATGTCATGTGTTCTTGTCCTAATTTGGACTAGCTAAATGATAGCTGAAGCATTAACATCTGCGGTTGTGTGAATTGGGGGTTGCCAGGCCACATCAACAATCAATACAACACTTGCTTCTGGAACCTTGTTGGTTCTGGTAAGAGCACTGCTGAATCTCAAAATATGTTGAAGGTAATTTCTGAATCGCAATTGAGCGTTGCTTTAATGGTCCAAAGTATAACTGTTAATTTGCTACGTTTCTGATAGGTGGTAAATTTGTTCTATTGATCATAATTGCCATTCCCCTAAGAGCTTATCATTTTAAGTCTTACGTTTGTCAGACTCAAATGAAGTACGAAAATGCAGGTAGTTTTTGTCATTCCTCAATCCCCTCTCAGGTTGCAGCATTCTTCGTAAGAAAACCGTTGTTGATCTTAAGCTTCTGTCTCAAGCTTTTTCTCTAATTGTTTGCTAACTTACAATAAGCACTCGATATTTTTGTCTTGCAGGGCACAACTGCGGATGTGAAGAACAATCTTTTGTTTGACACTTTCAAAATCAACTACAATGATTTACCACAAATATTTCGGAAGGGCTCCATCGTGTATAGAAAAAAGGTAGCCTCAGACGCTATGGTTGCATTTTACGAAGCCGAGATCACTGGTTCGTTCTAAATTGAAATTCTGTTTCTGGCCCTAGCAGGTTGAAAAGGTGGTGAAGGTGGAAGATGGTCAAGAGATCAAGAGACTTAGAAGCTGTGCTGTGGTTGAGCATGAAGACATCATTCGGGACAACTTTTGGACCCAATATCCTTACATACTCGGTGGGAAGTAGTCATGCAACCGCCTCTTCTTTTCAACAACTACAACCCACTTGAGTTCTGACTTTTATGAAACATTCTAAAATCAACTCTTCTTAGTGTGGAAAATCTGATTTCGCAATGATCCCTTGCTACTCCTTTTGAAGATTGGACCTTCGTTGAACCTTGTATTATGGTATACAGAATGTGTGGTTCTAACATATTTTTGCATGTTTTAAGATTTTGAAGTACAGAACTAGTAAAACTGTGTAAGGGAATGGTCGTAGATGAAACAACGGAGCTATTTTTTGCGTTGTACTTTTATCTTCTGTAAACCGCAACTCGTAAATTGATTGTGGATTTTATCAGTTGAGTAACCCGTGTGGTTTTATTGTTCATCTAAGTAATAACTAGTCCTGTTGAAGTTTCTGACATTAGAGGTGTTCCCTGCTATTTGTACTGCGACAGTAAGTGTGAAGCCCCGCGCAGGGTTATTACACTGTCTACAAGCCAGGGAGACATTTTGTGATAGATGGAATACACATAAAACCTCTTCACAAGAGTACAGACACAGCATTCAACTAGTGGATTGATACAACACATCAGAATGTCAGAGCAACACATCACATTCCTTGTCCTCTCTATTAGTGTACAGCAAGCCATTTCGTCCGACAAGTTTTACACCGAAGCCTTGCTCTTACGTTAGTAACGGAGCAAGGAATCGACAGGTAGACGGCACAGATAAGCTCCAACCTTACACTAACCACTCGTCGCACGAGAGCTATGCACTTCAGACTAAGAGAAGCACGACCACTTCAATGTGCAACATTAGCTCGGTGAAGCACACGAACTGAAATAGTGCGCATCAACTCAAACAATCCTCACTCAAACCGCACCCTCAGACGTACAGGTTACCATCACTTCTTGGTATCAAAGTTCTCCACAGAAGCACTCTTGGCCTATTTCAACGCTGTCACAGGTACAATCAGCGTAAACACAAGTAAACTCCTGTAACCACGGATCCGGCGTCAAGCAAACAAGACTTGATTTAGTTCGTCCACGATGGCCACCGAAACGGGACACAGGAACCACATACATGTCGATTCCATCGGCTTGATGAGCCATGGACGAAGCTAACCACGAGATTCTCACAGCCATGGTTTGAGTCCAGAATTATACCTCAAAGGCTCCCTTTCCCCGGAATAGCGCAACGGATTCAATCAACTGACCCCGTTCCAGAAAAAAATTCATGAAGGCATACGCGCCAGAAAAATGATGGACGAGCTCGGCGTCGGAGGACTCAGGTTTCCTCGGACGGCCATGGCCCACCGGTTCCTCCGGCTTCATCCTTGGCAACAAAACTTCCGCATCGACAACGCCAAGAGTGTGGCCCATGTTGTTCCTGCCCAGGTGGGAAAAGCACCCCCGATCCTCTACACCTGTTCGAACTACAGTCCCCGTATGTGCATTGTATTCCGTATTACGTTATATCGTATACGTGCGTGAACAAATTTGGAATTTGAGGATTACTCTCCCAAAGCCTGTGGATCACACGGACATCTTGAACTTTTTACATTCAAGATGTGAGATGGCCTTGACTTAGTTGCTATATAAATAATAGCTCCTCTAAACGAAAATATTATATTTTGTAAGCAGAATTCTAGACAATATTCTAAGTTGTTGTAAGTGTGTAATAGATAAAGAATACTAAACCTCAAAAACCAAATATTACGTACAATGTCAAATATGTGTACTTCGTGTATTGTCGAATATATTGCAATTCATATCACCAAGGGTCTATAAATATCAAGTGCTAACAGGTGGTGTGGGAAACCGTAATCGAAGTCAACCACAGTCCAAATGGTGAAAAAAAGGCTGGGGTTCAGGTCCCGATTCCGGCGAAGAGACAAAGACAACATTACTGCCAAAGCCGATTCAGCTAGCCTGAATCCAGGTCACCAAAAGACCCACGAGATTCACCCCCGAAGATTCATCCATGTCACTAAAAACCTGTCAGCGCAGATTCACCAAAGAGATTCATCGCTCTTAACAGCCGACGAATCTCCCAGGTAGTGTGAAAGTTGACCTGTCTTGAATTACACCCTATTCTCACAGCGCAGTCTCGTGGGTTCTATCCGTAATTAGATGAAGTTCGACGATGAAGACTGAAGAGTGTGGCGCCCTTGGTAAGGGAAGGTTTCCGGGCCTGAGTGCTTCTGAAAAATGCGACGGAGCTCTCACCATCTCTGTGGCAGCGGATGAGGGTGGCGACCTTGAGTTCTGAGGTAGCGCCCAGCGAGAAATGTAATCGAAGTCCCCCTCGTTGGGCTCCGTTAGGGTGCCATGTGACCTGCAGTGTCTCTAGGATGTTGTCTGTGCACATTGCTGTAGCCTGTATGTGTGTGGCTATTTATTGCTTATTTTTTATTTTTTAAATGAAACTTTGCAGCGGCTGCAGAGATAGAGGAATTTGTGGAGAAAGTCTTGGCGTGCGTATTCCTGTTCTCATGGGTCAGCGTTGGTGTGTTTTGTAAGAGTTTGTCCAATTTTTGTGTCGGCTTGATGTTGGGTCTATCGACGAGACTATTCTGAATTCAAGGTTCAGATTGATATAATGGACGTCATTGAATTCGTGGGATTGTTGGCTTGCTATGGTAGTCCTGATAGCGTGTGGAGGGTCTGAGCGTTTGGGGATGATGCTGGGTCTTATGAAGAGTGTGGGTGTTTGTTTGCTCACAGAGCTGAGATAATTGTGGATGAGAAAACTAAATGAGTTCGCGGTGACGGAGCGTTATGTGATTTGAGAATGCCGAGTTTTAAGATGGACAAGAAGGAAAACCTTGGGGTGGTAGAAGCGCTGAGAGTGGCGGAGAGAGAGGCAGCGAGTTTTGGAAGCAAGGCAGATGTGTCTGAAGTCTTGGAGTACGCGGAGAAAGAAATTCGGAGGGGGAGTTTGAAATCGCTGTGGCAAGATGCTGCCGAGTTTGGGGTTAAAGATGAAGAATACCAGACGATTTTTGAAGTGCAGCAATTACGGGTGAGTGCTGTCTTAGGGGTGGATCGGACGTATCATGGGCACGTAGTCGGTCATGCGTTGGTCCGAGCTGCTGAGGGCGGGTATCCGCAAATTGTGATGAAGCTGCGTAAAGGGCTAGCCGAGCTTAAGTGCTCCGTGCTAACTCCGAGATTTATGAGCTTTGCCATTTTGACCGCCGTCGAGTGCGGCAACTACGAGGTAGTTCAGGAGCTACTGCACACGACCACCTTTTCCATGTTAGCATTAATGGGCTATGAGTTGTCCAAGTGCAAGGACGGCGGATATCCTTATATGCGCGCCCGATTAACAACCTCTTGGATTAAGAATGTGGCTAAGGTGAAATCTCTCCTGCCTTCTGCCACGCCCGCCTTGAATTCCGAAACCTTGGAGCTGAAGGCCTGGAATTTCGACGAGGAGTCCATCCATGACGCATGCAGAGCATGCTATCAGAACTACTGTGTATGGAGGTTTCTGATAATAGCTGTATGCAATGGTCATGGGGCAGTGGTGCAGGAGCTTCTCATGAAGAGCGATGACTGTATCGCCCGTCCCATTGAAAGCATGCGAGGTGCACTAGCCGAGGAGATACCGCAAGTCTCTGAGCTTCAAGTATTAAAAGGTCGCATTGTAGAAAAATTATCCAGTATTGGTATGAAGGTTGCGGCAAAGCTTGGTCGTGATATCATACTGTATGCTCTCTACAACGCGATGGAGAAGACATCCGCGTTATCGAACGAGTCAAACGATGAGGTGAAACTCTGGAGGTGCACCAGTCGGTCCCAGTTCGGTGTCTGGGAGGTATTTATGGATGTGCCAGTTTTGCTCATGGAGCTTGAAACCTCATATCAAAACACGGAGGAATTGAAGCAGCTTATGCGGCCTTACCACTATATCAAGCCTATCATACCGCAGTTGATGAAGCTCAATATCCAGCTAAAGGTTCTCATCGACATTCAACCTAACTACATTGAGGTGACGATCGGCATCAATCATGTCCGCGTGACGGTAGACAATCAGATGTGGGAGGAGAAGAGGACTGGTCATTTTCCTACTTTCATCTCATTGGCAATCACTCCTGTGACGCCCACAATGACCTCTGTCAGCATGACAGCCTCCTCGTCGAATATGGTGATGAAAGTTGGAGTGGCCGAGCAGGTCCGTCTGTCGGTTCAAACTAGATTGAAGGCTGCACCAACTGCCACTGTGGGTATACAATTTGCAAAATCTACCATGTCCAAAATTGACGGGAAGCCTTGGAGAATGGAGCAGCTCCCTACGTCTGGTGATCAGGGAGGCCGATTCAACTGGAACTTGTCCACTTGGCATGGGCAAGCCTTTGATCGCCGGAACCCTATGTTGCAAGAAACGAAGAAGTCGATATGGCAGTTTGGGAAACGGTCGCCAATCAATCCGTTAGCGGTTTTACCACTTGGTACAAATGGCGGTGTCCATTTCACCGGAACAGAGTACGATGACACTCTCTCTTGGAGGTTTCCTAAAGAACTCGAGAACACAGACGCGCTTTTCAACGTTGAGGGCGTTGTCCACACCACTTACATCACCCAGGACACGTTCTGGGAGACTCGGATGGTGCCCTTTGAGCTGCAGGTGGAGCAAAAGCTGGAGCCGTGTGGTGATGCCCTGGGGGCAGACAAGAAGAAGAAGAAAAAGAAGAAGTAGATCTGTACCCAATATGCTTGTACTGAACTGGATTTTCTCAACGCCAGGCACTCATTGTGTGAGCTGTCTGCAGACGTGTGGTGTCTCTGTTAGCTAGCATCTCTAGATTACTGTGTACCTAGGCTGGAGCCGCTCTTGGCTGTTCCTGAAAGGCCCTGTTTCCATAGCTATTCTGCAGCTGTTTTCATAGCTGATTGCTCTTTGTTCCTTTTCCTCGTGCTGAAGGGGCTGTCGCTAAAGGATTTGAGCAGTTGAAAAAGGGTGCGTACAGCTGCTTCTTTTTCAGCAATCTTTAATGACAAGTCGAATTTGCACAACATAAGATATCTAGAATGGAGAAATGTTCTTAGTGTATAGCATAGTACTTAGGATAAAAAGTGTACAACAATAATTATTCATGAATCAAAATTCTCGTCAGAGCAAGCATTGAATCCAACACTGGACCCGGATTCTTTTATTAAAGGTAAACGGGGATTGATGATATGGTTAGACTAATTGGTAGTATATGGAAACCCATTGTGATCTCTTAATTATTGTACATGCACCTTTGCATTTGCATACTGAAAGCGGTTTTTCTCAGTTTTCAGCTTTCCAGCAAGATATTGCTACAAGACGTATGCTAACTGGTACAATTCAAACACTTATTCTACACATTTAGAAGACGTCTCACAGTTGTATGAAATTTGTGCCGACAGAAATCAAACTCCAAAACTGTGTGCCCATTTTTTGGACATTTTCATAGCAGTTTTTTTTCATTTCGATCTGAAAAAAATTCCATGCTCATTTCTCAAGGAAATTTTGGGAGGAAGATAAATACTCAGTGGTGCAGCGAGGGAGAGAGTTTATTACCTGAGAGGAATTTGATTGGGATACTTTTGGCATAGAATTGTTCCAGCTGTAGAAATAGATATGGCGATGAAAGGTTAAAATGCCAGTCTAATGGAGAAAAAAACGAAGCAAAGATTTTCTCTCATGAACATTCATCCACACTGAGCAAAGAAGCAGCAATGGCGGGCTGAAAACGTCACCGTGGTCCGATCCTTCGCACACTAAAAAGCTCCCCGGGCATGCCTTGGCGCTTCCCACATGCAATTCGTGTCTCATGATGCGTGTCTGGAGTATTTGTGAAACACTTTCGAGACACAACCATAAAAAAGGAAAGGAGGAAAAGGAAAAACAAAAAAAGAAGAAGAACATGACATCACACAATGGGGATTGCACACAGGCGCTCACCAACGACGCCTTGGAATTTAAAAGGGAATAAAAAAAAAAAAAAAAAAAAAAAAATGACGACAGTTGATCACTACGCTTCAAAAACCTGGTCATCCACACAACGCCATCGCGAACCCGCCACTGCCTTTCCAACATGTGGTACCCAACACCTGTATAACTTTCGGCTTTACGTAACCCACAAGAGCGTCATGGTGCGTGCAGCGCCTGGATCCCACCCTGAACTTGGAACCAAGTTCATCAATGCGAAGGTACTCCTCCGTAAACCAGCCAAATCGAGTCCGAAAAACCCCACCTCAAAGTCGTCGGCATTAAGTAAACTCCAGATCTCCACATCCTTACCTCCCTACAACTCTGGCTGTGCCGAGTCTCGCCCTGCCGTGGTCTGGAACAGTCCAATCGTAAAAGTAAGAGCCAAGATGTCAGCCTGCAGGCAAGAAATTGTTCAGTTGATCTTATTATAGCCCGAATTTCCTTTCCTGCGTGCATCCCTCCCTAAGCTCACCCATAGTAGGGTGTTTTTTTTTGTTTTTTTTTTTTTTTCTTTGTTTTTTTTCCGATTATGATCTTATTACTGCAGGACAGGATGCAGATACAGGGGGTGGATGGATCCCGTTGCGGCGTGTCGACACCGCAATCTAAATGGCGGCGAGGGAAGGCGTATGAGTCGCGAGGGGCCATATCAACTGCCGAGAATAGACAAACGGGGACACGAGGATCTTAAACGCCAATTGTCCTCCCATATGTCCTGACGTGGAGGCCTTCCACTTCGTTTTTTCTCCGCAACACCTTCTGTATCGACCAAAGTCGTGCGATCGTTTGTGGCTAAATTGGGTTCATCGACATTCGATCCTGCGCTGTGAACCCGAACGATTCGTCTGTTACGTGGATTCGCTGTCAGACATTCTCCAGTCTTCCTTTTAATTACTTTTTGTTTGGTTAATTCCTCTATTTGTTTGTTTTTTTCTTTTTTTCTTCTTCTGCATAAACAAAGGACGTTTCGAGATTATGGCATGTAGCACTATACTCTTAAGGGAGAAGGTGACAAGTCTTAACTTTTATAAAGCTTTGATTGATTTAAATTAAGAATTCCTCTTTAAGTAGGCTTTATACTTAGAATAATTAGTCTACAGTCCTCTTTAAGGCATTTAACTTAGAATAGTTAGTCTAAATACCTTAAAATGAGAAGATGAGGGAGAATGCATTTTTTTTTCCTTCCTACATGGCATAAATAGTATTGTTTCTTAAAATTTCTATTGGGCCCCTTTCAAAGAGGTGTCTTTTTTTTTTATTATTATTTTTTTTTTGAAAGTAGCAATGTTAAATTAAAAGAAAAGGATGGTATATTGAGAACTTGGTCCGACCTAAGATTGTCAGGTCTATTAATTCCAATAATAGATTCTACTTAGAAGAAAATAAATCACCTAAACAGAAGATGGTGTTGTAATACCATATATTATTAAACTTAGCTACCAATTTAGTATGTATTAGTATGCTACATAATCTTATATAACTCATGATGTGGATTTAGTGGGCCATGGTTGTAAAGATAGTTTTGTGCCAAGCTCTATGAATTACTAAAGCTTTGTCCATCATTTCATTTATAAAAATCTTCCTACATCTTATACACTAGACTTGCCATATGATGTAGACTTGAAGAATGTCACTTACTACTCTACAGCAACATATGATGGATTGATATTTATTAAGCAAGCTAATACCTAAGGAGATTCTAGTAAAATCTTCCTACTATAAGAGTTGTGTGTAATGACTAAGTCTAAGCCATATAATGCCAAATTGGTTTCAAATTTCATACGGCTTAGACTTCCTATTTCATCATTGGAATAATGGAATCAGATAGCAAGGTATACATATTAGAAGATAAACAATGAAATAAGACATCATTGTGGAGATCACATAGTTGAATAAGCTATGCTAACTGGTTCCTATTGTTAAAAGTGGTGATCTACTCAAATTCTTTAAATATTGGCAATTGTGATAGGATTCATGAATTGAATAAAGCATCTAACACTTTGATTTGTTATTGTATTGTATAACAATAACTATGTAATTATTCAAATTCATCATCAATTTTTTATATTCTAGAGTAGGCATTTTAGACATTCTTGACTTAAGTAAAATTCTTTTGCATCCAAGTGCTGCCAAAGAAATAAACTGAGTCACGTAACACATGATTTGAAACTAAGGGAATTTTCGTATTTTAGAAAAGACACAAGTAGGTAGTAGTTTTGGCATTGGATAATTGTTGGAAAATAAGACCATGCTTGATATTCTTCGAGGTATTCCATGTTGCCTACTATACATTAGATCCTCTATTATAGACCTTATTAGCAAAGAATCTAAATTATATATATAGTAGCCAACATCTCATCTATTTGGATCGTAACAAATATAGGTGGTATTAGATGATGGCCTTTGAGAGTGAATGACTAAGAAAAAAGCTATAGATTAGCAACTTGGCCATCAAAGCCTTTATTTATACTTTTAAATCTAAAAATTTTAAATTTTCTAGTTTGTACAGTTGAATCAAAGATTCTTAGAAAATCTTTAGTTAACAATATTTTTTTTTTTAACCTCGTTGCTCTAGATATAATTTCTAATTAGTGAATGCATATTGTAGATGGATATCAAGGACATGAACTCTAAAGAAAGATAATCTCAATACACTCTTGTATCACTCGAAAATACTTAGAAATCACTCAAAGGTGATAATATATTGAACTAGAATGGCTATTGCCAAAGACTAGAAAATATGACAATTCTTGAAACTAGACTGAAAATAAGAAAGGAGTTGAGAAGAGTGAAGAAGGCTTCACTCTTGTCTCTATATATATTATCTAACTAGAGGCTACATGGCGACATTCTATAGGACCTCCAATATGTGTTGACTTTGTAGGACACTTGCCTTGACTTACAGGGCAAGTTTTTCTACGTGTGGACCACATAGTTAGCTTGGTCTTCAAGCTAACAATAAGTGTGGCACATGGCCAACTTGTTGACTACGTTTCTAATCCAAAAAGTCAATTAAAGACACCTATGAAGTCAAAGCAGTGTCTATGAAGCTTCTAGGAAGCTTCTATACCAAATAGTATAGAATTAACTTACTTTTATCTACTTTTACTTACTTCTACTTATTTATATATGTAATTACTAGCTTACATGAGTATGTCCGTGACAATGGATTGGCAATTGAAGCTTTAGCATAATGCAATAAATGAAATTGATGCAGATAATACCTAATTTACTATTAAAACTCTATTGGCTAGCATCAATTTAGTAGTACCTTAATATATTAGTTTTTATTTGAGATTAGTAATCACAATCCAAAATCTGATCTTTGAAAGGACTTAGAAGCTAATTGTAAATGTAAAGTAACATATAATCTCTTCCAGTCCTAAGAGTTCATGTATTCATGTACATGTTAGTATTGTTTGCAAAATCAAGAGTTTGGAAGGAAATACCTCACAATCTTTCCTTGCATTCTAAGAGGCAACATAATGAGTCCACAATAAAAAAATACATAAAGAAGTAAGTGGATAGTCTTACCTAATTACATGGAATAGCTTAAAAGAGGCGTTAATAGTCCCATTAATGCTAATTGAACACCAAAAGTTATTATAAAGTATACAGATCTTGTTAATTCAATTCTTATCAAAATCTATGGAAATGATGGTATCTTCTAAGAATGACCACTCTACTCTATTATAAGCCTTTTTAAAATCTAACAAGAGTATAATTATAGATTGATAGGACTTTAAAGTCCAATCCATCATTTTAAAAGTTAAAAAAATGTTATCAATTATATTTCTTTCTTTAAGAAAGCTAGTTTGATTGGGCCTAATAAGCATATTGAGCAATGGTTGGAGGTATTTAGTTATAGCTTTAGTAAGAATTTTGTATATTGTGCCTAAAAGTATGATTGGACACCAATTCTTGACGTTGATTTTTACTCATCTTTAGAAATGATGCAAAGCAAGTTGGTATTAAGAGAGCAATTTACGGTGCCTATAAAAATTTCTTTATAAAACACCTCTATCACATTCTTGCTAATATAATTTTAAATTTTCAAAACAAAATTAGCAAAAAAGCCATTTATTCCTAATGCCCAACTTAAGTAGAGATATTTAAGGATTTCATGTATCTTTTCTTTACCAAAAGGTTTCAAAAGGATAGAATTCATTAATAGAAGGACTTTGCAAGGATTTTTCTTTCAATAAAAATTTCTAGCTTATTTATAACCTACGGGAGTGCCCTATAATATAAATAACTTAGTATAAAAATATGTAGCAAAGATTATTATCTCTCAATTGATATTATATTTTTTTCCCTCTAAATTATATAATTATTGAATTAGGAATGCTTCTTGTATTTCTTGGATAACTAAAAAAAATAAAAATATATATATATATATATATATATATATATATATATTATTTTTTTTATATTTAATTGTATTCATTTTGAGGATGCCCAAATAGAGTTCCATTTTTCATCTCATTTTACTTTCTCAATTATTTCTTAGATTATTTGATTATTAATTTTTTGAAGTATTAGTTTCTTTGAGTAAGTATATAATAATCTCTTTATAAATACTAAGGATGCTAAGAATTGGATGTGTTGGGCTTATTTAGTCTGAGCTTGTCAAATTTCTTCATTATAGCAAAATAATTTGAGGCACTTGATAATAGCCACTATCCATTCAAACCATCCTATGGCTCTCTATTGTGGATTCTAAATATTGTTATATTATTATTTTAGCTATTCAAGTATGAGAAGATTGTCAAGAAAAGAAATATTGAATCTAAAGTAGTAGTTTGTGTCTTTATTCCTAGCTAATTGTTGAATATCAAGAAGAATTGATTAATGATCTAATAAGTTATTAAAATCCTTTAAGATTTGGATTCTACCACCATGGTCTTGAATCCAATCACTAACATAAAATCTTTTCAATCAAGGTAATCTATTCACGAATTTCTTTATTTTTTTTGCTTATTCAACTAAGAAAATAATAATGAATTTGTATGATCAAAATTATCTAAGAATTAGATATCTACAAGCCTAAGTTTCATGAGAAGATTGTTCCAAGTACCTTATTCTTTGATCCTTAATTTTTTTGGGAAGGTGTCCACTTTGGTTTTCTTTATATTCTACCATGTTCATATTATCCTCTAATATCTATGAAACCATTGAGAGAAGCTTAAGATTAATGGTTTTCTAAAAATTAGCTCTATAGTGGCTTTGGTTAGAAGTGTAAATATTCAATGATCTATTCTTTTGTAAATTAAGATTACATAAAATACATCAAATACATCTTTTTATTAATATATCTAAATATATTATAATATGCTTTAATATTGCTATGAGGAGAATAGCAATTCTTTATTTATATCTATTAATTAATTCATTAAGCTTAATATTATTCTATAAGACCCAGCCTCTATGGTGATTAAAAGTATCTACCTTCTTGCAAAGGTCTTAAGCCATCTTATATTCTTATAAGAATATTATGTTAGAATAGAATTATATTGATTTTAAATAAAAATAGAGCCTATTTCTTTTTCTTTGCTACATCTTAGAGCTAGAGATGCCCTGCACATTCTATGCTAATACACTAAGTTTAGAATTAGTCATATTGGATGAAGAAACTTTAAAGGCATTTTTAATTGATATGGTCTTAGTTGAAGAAGAAAGTCATACTATTAGCAAAGATATGTGGTACAATAAATCAAAGTCTATTTTTTCAATTCATCATATGATTAAAAATTAATTATAGAATAAACAGCACCACTATGTAATGATCTCCTACTAATAATTCTTTGCTTATTGTAAGATGAAAAATTTTAAGTAAGAAAAAAAGCAATGTGTTGCAGTTCAGAAGCCAACTAGGAAGTTTATTAATCATTGTAATTTTAAGCAAATTAGATGTTGTCCAATATTTGGTTGAGATATTCATTATTGGCCATAATAGTATATTTCTTATTACTTTACAAAGATACATATTTTAATTAATTGAAGGCAGCTTGAATAATCATTGTAATTTGCAATAAGGTCAAAGATGGCAATGCAGTAGGAAATGATTAGCAAGGAAGAAATCTCTACAAACTTAAAATGGTGTTATTTTGTATAATGTGTGAATTAGTTTGAGATGTATTAGTAGTAAAGTACCATATTAGATCTATAGAAATGACTTATTTTTCGAGAGTATTGTCTATCAAATCTTTCTATCTTTAATATCTTGTTTCTTTGTTGACGGTATCAGGGTAGAGAGAATTTGCCTCAAGAAAGCACTTAGCTCCTGGCTGCCATTAATTGCTCAATCAAGTCTTGAGATAAGAAAGACCAAGTTTGAATATATATATATATATATATATATATATATATATATATAACACTTTTAGGAGCATTTACACCAAATATATAAGTCTTAAGTTCCCAAAAACACCCAAAATATGATTAAAAAAAACTCTAAATCCTTATATATCCTTATGGGGTATTATTCTTGAATTTCAAAAACTCACATCTTCCAATCGGACTATTCTAACACACTCAAATTTTATATGAAGTATTGATGTACTTCTAACAACTACCACAATTAAT